GTGTCTAAATAAGAATAAGAAATAAGAATAATTCACATTCATACATCTGTTCATCTAAAAGGAGTGATTTAATAAAAAGGTTAAGGACATAATGTATATATGTATATCACATTATAATAATGTAGCTGTGTTAGGATATTAGGATAAAAATACCTAGTTTTGAGGAAATAATGTCTAATTTTTTGGTTTTGTGAATATTTTTAGATCATGATGCTAAAGATGGAGTCCTAAACCCAGAAGAAGCAGGCATGATTTCAGAAGACTTAAAATGGGCATCCAGAACTGAAAGTATGAAATTAAGTGGAAGAGAAATAGAAATAGACAGTTCAGCAAGCAGTTTAAGAACACAATCCAATCCTCAGAAGCTTGGGGAAGATCTCCAAGAATTACTTCCAATTTATAGCTCTTTAGCACCCCCCAGTGGGCACTTGTTAAGCAATGAGGATAAAACAGTAACAGATGAAAATCAGTTTACAAAATCTCACTATCAACTGTCATCCCAAATTCAACCTGTGGGAAATGTGGGACAACTTCATGGTGTTACACCTGTAAAATTGTGTCGCAAAGAATTACGTCAAATTTCTGCCTTGGAACTATCATTACGACGCTCTAGTCTTGGAGTTGGGGTTGGATCAATGTCTGCTGATTCCATTGAAGTATCTAGGAAACCAAGTGACTTAAAAACTTAGGTGTTGAACAATAGAAATTTTAATTTAGTAGATATGTAAAAAGATTCCTTTTTCTAACTTGTTAAAAATTAAAGCTCAAGCTGACTATCTCTTCCTCAGGATAAAGGAAGAAGGGGAGGAAGGAATTCCTAATCTTTTTATACACTATAGATGTGTATATCTCGTATAGTATATTTGGGGAGTTTTAATTTATATTTCCATAATCAAACAAATACATGTTTTCTAATATTTGGTAATATTTAAATATTTTTACTTATAAATATGCTTAGAATTTTTTCTAGGCATAATTGAAGAACAAAACTGATAAACTAAAATATCCATCAAGTGTATATTATTATATAATATAAAAGTATATTATATTATAAAAGTATGTTATAATTACAATATAAGCATATTATTGTTATTCTCAAATACAACTATATTGCTATTTTTAAAAGATTTGGCTAAATATTGCTGGTGTCAGAGGGAGAGTCTGATGTATATGTATATACATATATGTATACATATATGTATATATGTATACATATATACACATGTATATGTATATGTGCCAAAATATAGTCTGTGGGCTAAGACAACCTATCAGATTTATGGACTGAGGTTGATTGACAGCCCACAGAAATTGAGTGGTCAGTCTTAACTTTTTAAACATGGTCTCTGCTCTGTTTCTGAAATTGTTTTTTACTTATAATGTTATATTGTTAGTTTGGTAGTACTACGCAATATAAGTTTTCATCTCTTCTGCCCTGTGCACTCACTGTATCTCTCATGCTACTAAAGTTGGGAGAATGGATGCAATTCCATGGAACAGGGAAACAATGATAAACTAACACTAAAGCATTGTAACATTTCAAGGAAAAGAACACTGGTTGTGATATATCTGGTCACATGGAGTATGTCTGTAAAGTCTGAAGTCTGGCCAAAGGATCTTTAGCTAATAATCTGATGGGCTTAAGTCTGAGATTTTTCTCTATGACCTGTTTAGTCAGGTTTTCTAAACAGGCAGGCCAAATGGCATTGGGTCTGTAAATATGGAAATGAAATTTTGCTAAAATTTCCCTTCAAGTTTTTTTGGCATATATATATACACACACACACACACACACACACACACATATATATACATATATATATATATATTTGGTTTATATATATATTATATAATGTACAATTTAGTTTGGAATTAATAACTAAATAATTTGCCCACTAAATAATAGTTTGTGCTTTTTTCACAATATTTTTTATCACAGGAAAACATCCCATTATAATAACCTGAGATATTATTTTGTTTCTTATATTGTTATTTTTGTTACTTTTCTAAACTTTCACTTATAAACCAAAGTTAAGTTTCTTAAACTAATTAATGTTTGGGTTGGGCAGTAGCAAAACTACCCTCACTATGGATGCCTCCTTAATTAAAGTCACCTACTTCCTTGCTGAACTCATTTTTTCCTTCTGATGCTGCCACAGACCTTCTTCTTTTGGCCTTTCCTCTGTAGCTGTTGACCTTGAACATCTCACCTAAGACCCAACTGTCACCCCATGCTCAAAGACTTAAGGCTTCCTTTTTCTAGTTGCTAACACTTAGGGAATAGGGTTCCTTTGTCTCACTGCTAAAAACCAGCTCCTATAGGGAATGAAAATCAAAATAAAACAAACTTCTAAATAGGTAAACAGTTTTTTAAATCTCTTAAGCATAGTACTAAAATTCATTTAAATTATGGGTTACATAGATTTCTGTGGACTTATCTGGGAATGGAACAATTTATATTAGCCCAACAGGACACTGTTTTCTAAGTTTCAAACAACTAACTTGGAAATTTTATTTTTACCAAGGACTATTTGAAGTCAGTTCTGGTTTTCAGCTAGTCTTCCTTTTTTGCCTTTGGTTTATATGACATGCATTTATGCATATATATGTGTGTGTGTGCGCACAAAAGGCCAGTGCCTTCAACAAAGCACAATTATATATGAATTAATAAATATATGTTTATTAATTAAGGTCCTAACTCTAAATTTCTTATAAGATTAATATGCTGTGCCTCAATTAGAAATAATTCATATAAGAATGTATTCTGATACTAGAATCCTGCTTGTTCAAGAAATTAACAGATACTTGTTTTACCTATGGAAATAGAAACACATTTCCTAAAAGCCAACTCACTATAAAAAGCAAGAAAATTTATATCAGACCAACAATGATTAGGTTTGATAATGCAAATGTGAGTTGATTTCTAAATAACAAAGGTATGATTTTTTTCCTTCCTTTTAAACATAGAGATCCTTTATATGCTACGATAGATTTCATGCACATATATAAACACACATATAAATAATGTCCTGAATAATATATTCTGGAAGTCAATCTCTGATTACTCTAGTCAGTGCTCTCACAAAGGAAAGAATAAGGAACCTTCGCAAGGCAAGTAAAATTATTTTTTACCATATACTAATAATAGATTTTACTATCTTTTTCACATGCTTCCCTTAATCTAAACATTTTATTATTGTGTTTGCCTTTTTGCATTTATATGAAATGTGGTTTTCTTTTTGTTCTTTATGTTCCTTTTCTCTCTACCTGTAACACAGCATTTGAAAGGAAAAATATTTGCCTCCATAAAATACTAGTTCCCTTCCTAACTCCAGAGTAGTATACAGATAACAGAGATGGAAAATTCTATAGTTATGGGAACCATAGGTGTGAGAACATTGATGAAGGTGCTTTTGTGCTTTAATGTTTGTTTTCTTTCCTCAGTGTAATTTCGTGGTTCCTCAATTCTTCATATCTTCATGAACTTAGGGTTGAAGGACTCAGCAAAAATATATATGATCTTCAGTAATGTGAACTATATTGCCATTAGCATTGCCTTGTTTATATTAGTGTAGGCCAATAAAGTGATGAATGCTTATTTGAGAATAGGTGCCTTCTATGGAAAAAAATAAAAGTCTCATACTAAGTTTTAGAATGAATTATTATGGAGTCATATCCTTAGTGGGAGTTTATTTCTGTGATCAACACAGACTCTCATACATTAAATGCAAATAAGACATGTTTTAATCTTTCAGTTATTGCCTTACGTATATACTTATCACTTTAAAATAGAGGGGTATCAATGTCTGAAAGTTCAAGTAGAAAGTCAGTCATGTCCACTTTTTGGTCTCAACTTCATTGGAATTTTTAAACATATTCATTATTTATATCTTACATTTAAAGTTGTAACAGGTTGTAGGCTCCCTTCATTAATACTGATAACATACTTTTCTACATTTATATTTTTTAAAACTTGAAAATAAAGGTGAAAATGAGATCCCTCTGCAATAAACATCTCAAATGTACTGGGTATATAGTACTTTTGAGCTTATATGGGCAGTAGTGTACCAAGGGCAAGGTAGTGGGAGCCTCTGCCCAATAAGGAGGAATATTTTATCACTGTCATTACTGCTGATAAAAGTAGACTGACTTTTCATGGTTTTTACTGTTTTTAAATTCACTACAAACAATGTACCCCTTATTGCCTACACCAGGAATGACTGTTCCTAATTCTTGCTCTTGGAATACACGGCATACAAGACACTAAATTCTGGAATGGTGTTTGATTTTTATAATGGCCTTCATGTTGACCTGAACAAGACTCCAACATGGAGGCAATTAGAATGAGGGAAATTGTAAAATGAAATCTCAGAAAAATTTGATGTTATAATGTTGTCTTTTGATATTTTGCACAGTTCTCATTTGTCCCTTTTTATATTTTTTTCTTCTAGGAATTTCCACAGTGAGTCATCAGAATTGCTACATTTGAAATGCTAGCAGTGTAATTTGATTGAACTCAAATATATTACATTAGACAGTATTATGTTCTGCTGGTTAATTATAACCCACAATTCTATTGAATGATCTCTGCAGTACTAGAAAAGAAAAATATAACAATCTCACAGACTGTTTTAATAATTTGCAAGATCCCTACATGCCCAAGGAACAAACCATCCAAAACAGAGAAGAATAGAAAAGTATATAAATATTTTTAAAAATTTATACTCATGATTCTTGGAAATGTAAAACTCCATTTATTAATTAATAATTATGTAATTAAATTAGAACAAAAGGAATAATTTATAAACTATATTCATATACTGTATTGTGTTTTCAAGCTTATTATATACAAAGCAAGGTATAATTTTTCAAGTCCATAGCAGTAAATATTATTAGAATTTATTTTATCTAATATGAGGTGTCTTATTTTTAAAAGAACTACTTCTTGGACCTTGACCCCCAATTACCAACAACAAATTAACAGGCATGTGCTTACTAACCTTTCACTCTCCACAATGATCCAGGATTCCAATAGTTCTGAGAAGACAGATGACTAGGGCAGGGGGTGGGGTGGAGGGGACAGGAAAGAAAAAGGTTTATTTGCAAGCATTCCATGCCAGCAAAGAATTTTCAAAAGTATTTTGAGAGAATATATTTTATTTCTCTGGCAAAAGGACTGAAATTTAACTTCAACCTTTGGCTAACTCTAAACCCTAAAGAATACTCCTAGTTAATACTGACTTTGCCATTTGAAAATAGACACCTCAGTTTTTATGCTGGTTCCTTTTCCTATGATTACTTTTCATTTAGGATTATATGAAAAGAAGCCATCCTAGATAGAATCCGAATAGAAATTGTAGAGCCATCCAGTAGAGAATTACAAGAAACAGTAGTTTTGGATAAATTCCAACTGCCTAACAACATAAACCTAAGAAAGAATTTAGGACTTAGGTAATTTTTACCACAGAAGAACCATGAAAGGTATGCCAAAATGTAAACATTTGATTGAAGGAAAAAGTGACAGGATTTAGCGTTATAAAACAATACTGTCTCAACCATTTTGCTTAATTTTTCTCTCTGCTAAAATATCCTTGAAGTTTTCTACTGAAAAATGTGTAGTTAAAAGAATTCCATTCATGATTACAAACCAGTAGCTATTGGACTGCCATGAGAGGCTGAATTACTATTACTCATTTTTGTGTCTTGCAGTTGCATTTCATTATCCTACCCTGTAGCAGTGAAAAGGAGTAAGGAGTTATCTGAATTCAACGTATTCATAATTTTGATAATTTATAAGTATTAAAATTGTAAAGTTTTGTTTTTATTACTTTCCAGCATGAGTGTTTTTTTCTAGATGGAAGAATGGGAACAGGGCAAGGTATTTTATACTGAGAAACCAATCTCCTTTTGAAATTCCCATCACCTGGAGACAGGGGTTGGGCAGCATCTGAATTGTTCCTTTCCAGGCCTGAGCCTAAGCCCATCTATTTCACTGGACATTTTCATGGCTAGCTGCCAGGTGTCACCAGCTGTAAGACATGACTAGAATGACCCAAGTTATTAATGGAGTTTACATTAAATTATATTTTCTAAAACATCAAACAGCCTTTTCTTTCTTTTTTTTTTTTTTAAATGGTATTTATGAACCACTCCCTTGCGCAGGTGTCCTCAAACTATGGCCCACGGGCCACATACGAGTGTTTTTGCCTGTTTGTTTTTTTTGGGTTTTTTTTTTTTTTGAGACAGAGTCTCACTTTGTTGCCCAGGCTAGAGTGAGTGCCATGGCGTCAGCCTGGCTCACAGCAACCTCAATCTCCGGGGCTCAGCAATCCTACTGCCTCAGCCTCCCCAGTAGCTGGGACTACAGGCATGCGCCACCATGCCCGGCTAATTTTTTGTATATATATTTTTAGTTGGTCAATTAATTTATTTCTATTTTTGGTAGAGACGTGGGTCTCGCTCAGGCTGGTTTCGAACTCCTGACCTTGAGCAATCCGGCCCGCCTTGGCCTCCCAAAGTGCTAGGATTACAGGCGTGAGCCACCACGCCCGGCCTGCCTGTTTGTTTTTTTTCTTCAAAATAAGATATGTGCATTGTGCATAGGAATTTGTTCATAGTTTTTTTTAAACTATAGTCCGGCCCTCCAACAGTCTGAGGGACGATGAACTGGCCCCCTGTTTAAAAAGTTTGAGGACTCCTGCCCTTGCATTTAAAATCAAAATCTTATTTTACAAAGTAATTATCTAATAAACTGGGACGAAAACTGCTATTTTTACTACATGGTAAATAGTCTGTTGCTTTATCAAATAAATACATGAAAGCTTTCTGTGAATAAAGCATTAAGGGCAATTCTGGTGAGGGCTCAGAAGAGACCCCAAAACTAGGGAAAGCCTATATTTTCCTAGGGATTATTTAAGTGGTCATGATCAGAATATTGATAGAAATATGGATGGTAACGAGCATTCTGATGAGGTCTCACATGGAATTGAGGAACAAGGAATTGGAAACTGAAGTAAAGGCCATCCTTATTATTTGACTGCAAATAGCATGGCTGAATTGTATCCATGCCTGAGGGCTTTATGGAAATTAAAATTTAAGAGTGATGAACTAGGATATCTGGCTGAAGAAATTACTAAGCAAAATATTGAAGGAGCTACATGGCTACTTTATTTTTTTTTACTTTTATTTTTATTTTTTAAAACAGAGTCTCGCTCTGTTGTCCCGATTAGAATGCAACTTCAAACTCCTGGGCTTAAGCGATCCTTCTGCCTCAGCCCCCCTCCCCTCCAGTAGCTGGGACTACAGGCATGTGATACCATGCCTGGCTAATTTTTTTTGTTTTCTATTTTTAGTCGAGACGGGGGTCTTGCTCTTGCTCAGGCTGATCTTGAACTTCTAAGCTCAAACAATCTGCCTGGCTTGGCTTCCCAGAGTGCTAGGATTATAAGTGTGAGCCACTGTGCCCAGCCTACATGGTTCTTTTTAACTGCACATAGTATGATGTGAAAGGAAAGAAATGACTTAGAGAAAGAATGTGTAATTATAATTATGTGCTGCATAACGATGTTTTGGTCAATGACAAACCACATTTAGGCATATCTCAGAGATATTGCATGTTCAGTTCTAGACAACTGCAACAGAGCAAGTATCTCAATAAAGCAAGTCACATGAATTTTTTGGTTTCTCAGCACATTTAAAAGTTATGTTTACACTATACTTTGGTCTATTAGGTGTGCAATAGCAATATGTCTAAAAATGTATGTACTTTAATTAAAAATACTTTATTGCTAAAAAACAAAAAAATAAAGCAAATTGAAACTGAAGCATCATATATGTTTAAGATAAAATTATAAGTAGGTTTTCCATAGAGTTGACTGTCAAAATAGGATAAGTTTTTGGTCTCTTTTGGCACACACGTGGTTCCTTATTCACAAATGTATTACTAAAGAAGTAACAAATAGTCATGAAGTATCATAAGACATTTTCTAAACAGATTGATACTCAGACTTTTAGTCGTGTGTTATCAACTGTAGAAATAACAGCATTGTCTGGGAAGTTCATATGAATGCTATTCTCACAAAATATTTCAGAGACAATGCTTAATCTGTTTTTATAGGCCTAAGAAGTGCTTCATGGCTATTTCTTTGATTTATGAATAAAAGGATATGGTTTTTCTTACTGTTTTTTTTCTCTTTTCCCCATCTCCCACCCTTTGCTGGGTTTCTGACCACCAGTTTTTGACTAGTTGTTACTTCTTTAGTAATACATTTGTGAATTATTGAACTGCATCTAGAGAAGAATAGTTTCCACTTAGTAATCACAAAGATATTTTAAACTCTCTTTCTCCCCAAGGAAACTATAAAATAAGAAACTAGGTATGTGATCAAATTAACAGCATAAGTCAGTGTTCATTTGGCATTTGATAGATACTCTTACCCCTACTATATGCAAAAAGTATATTAGAATTAAATTTGACATTACCATGGTGGCCTCTTCTTCTTATGCATTCAGAGAGGAGCTCACTCCCCTTAGTTGGCAAATATCTGCCAATGGTAAGGAATATTTTTTCTCTAGAAGCACTCATGACCTGAGCAGCCAAGTAATCAAAGAGAAGACCAAGAATTTAAAGGTAATGGAACCTACAAACAGAAGTATTCTAGTGGATTGTGAACAAATAAATCAGAAAGGAAGAATACCAATGTACACTTTTCATGAAAGAGCTACCTTCAGTAGTACTGAGGTCCTCTTTCTAAAGTTTATTACAAAATTCAGTATCTCCCATGAGAAAGAAAGCTAGATGTAAGGACCTGATTATGTGAGTTTAGCTGGCTAGGTCACAGCAAACCAAAACATCCTTCAGGACCAGGGCTGGTATCCTGGGTTTAGTTCTTACACAGGAGTCTGTGCCTCTTCCAAAGGGTGAGTTAGTAGCTCAAATTTTATTTTCTGAAAACATGAAATAGTATCCACAGACATCTTCTATAGACAATAAATATAAATTTCTACAGAGTTTTTAATTTATAAGTATTTTTCTGCTTTATGTTTTCTGTCAACCTTTTCTTTTTGCAGACAGAGCTGAGAACTAAAAGCCCTATCCTTCAAGGAATTTATAGTCCAGTGATAAGTACTATGGAGAAAATAAAGCAGGGTAAGGAAATAGAGAATTAGGGGTGCTTTTTTGATAGAAATGTGTTTCTGAGCTCACATATACATAAAGTTGTAAAAACTAGATGTAAATTCACTGATGAAAAAATTGCTTTTCAATTGACCTAATGTATGCATGCTCAAAAGAGCTAAGAATCATAAATTGTATCTGAATACAGAAATCACAATGAACCAGTTTTGATGGGAAGGGAAGAACACTGATTTAATTTTGTCCCTTTACAAACAGGATACTGCTCTAGATCAACTGCTTTGATATATACAATTGCTTATGATTTATTACAAGTTTAGGATCACATTTCATTTTTTAAATTTTAAAATCAAGATATAATTTACATAAAAATTTACCATCTTAAAGTGTACAATGAGGTAGTTTTTAGTATATTCACTATGTTATACAATCATACTAATTCCAGAATATTTTCATCACCCTGAAATGAAATTATGTTCCTACTAGCAATCAGTCCCAATTTCCCCTTACTCCCATCCCCTGGCAACCACGAATCAATCTACTTTCTGTCTCTATGGGTTGCCTAATCTTGACATTTCATATAAATTATATCATACAATATATAGCCTTTTGTGTCTGGCTTCTTAGCATAATGTTTTCAAACATTATGTAGCATGTAACATTGTTCATTCCTTTTTATGACTGAATAATATTCCATTGTATGGATATACCACACTTTGTTCATGAGTTGATAGAAATCTGGATTAGTTCTACTTTTTGGCTATTATGAATAACCATGCTGTAGAAGAATGTTATGAACATTTGTATACAAGTTTTTTTGTGTGATTGTATATTTTCCATTCTCTTGGTTATATACCCTAGGAGTGGGATTGTTGGGTCATATGGTAATTCTGTGTGTAACTTTTAGAGGGACTGCCAAA